GCCGAGACAACAAACGGAAACCTGGGCTTTGGACTGAAGTCAGAGAATAGATCTGAGTCCACTGGTTCTGTCTGGGCTCGGTTTGAGTCATAGTCGGTTCTGTCTGGGCTCGGTTTGAGTTATAGTCTGGTTCTGTCTGGGCTCGGTTTGAGTGGTAGTCGTCTGTTTTTAGAACTAGTTGAGTCTCTTTCTGGTCACTTTGTTCTGCTGTTGTCGTCTAAGAGGAATCGGGTCGGGTTTGTGCACCTCCTGTATCTGGTTCCTGGATCCTCCTGTATCTGGTTCCTGGATCCTCCGGTATCTGGTTCCTGGGTCCTGCTCCACGTGTTTTGTGTGGTTTCATAAAGGAGAAGCAACAGAATCTGGTCTCATTGTTCTGACGGGTCGTCTGACACACAAACCTGCTGGAAAGTTGAGCTTCGGTAACTTAGACAGGAAGTAGAGCCGCAAAATAGGACGATTTAATGGTTTCATCCTTCAAAATAAGACGATTTAACTGTTTCATCCTTCAAAATAAGACGATTTANCTTCAAAATAAGACGATTTAACTGTTTCATCCTTCAAAATAAGACGATTTATCAGTTTCATCTTTCAAAATAAGACGATTTAACGGTTTCATACTTCAAAATAAGACGATTTAACTGTTTCATACTTCAAAATAAGACGATTTATCAGTTTCATACTTCAAAATAAGACAATTTAACGGTTTCATCCTTCAAAATAAGACGCTTTACCGGTTCCATCCTCCAGGCCTCTCACTTTGTAATATCACTTTACACACATAATGTTTCTTCCTTTGGTTTTGGTTTCCAAAGCCCAGATTTAATCTAAATTTTACGGCTCTAATTAGCGGATATAAAAGCAGACGGCGCCCCGAGGCAGAGGGAGGATCCGACACTCGGTCTCCATTGTCTTTTATTTCAGAGGACTGTAGCGATGAGGGTAATGCATTCCTCTCAGACCAACACAGACATTGTTTACAGTGAAGGCAGAGCAGCTGATTAGCGTCGAGTCATTGTCTGCTGCTAATTAAGAGCTGAAACAACTCCGGGGAGTCTCCCGGCAATTAGCGGCTGGAAGAGCGGGAAAACGCTGACCGCGGAATATCTTCGCTGCAGGTGACGTCTTTATTTTCTGTTCACAGTTCCAACTCCTCCTCCACCACGTCTCTGGCCAGCAACTCTCCGAAGATGGGCTCCAGCGACTGGGCGGTTCCTCAGGCGTCGAGGCTGAAGTACCGGCAGCAGTTCAACACGCTGGACAAACTCATGAGTGGATACCTGTCAGGTGAGTCGCTGGCCCACTCATTAGACTCAAACTCTACAGTGGGAAAGTGTGAGGAGCTCAGCAAAGATCTGGAGAAGAACATCAGTGACT